CTATTCTATTCTATTCTATTCTATTCTATTCTATTCTATTCTATTCCATTCCATTCCATTCTATTCTATTCTATGGACACGCTTGCTATGTGGTAGGCTGCCTAGGAGATAGTGAATCAGTTATAAACAGGTCCTGACTGATGGCTTTTTCCCAGATTTTTGCAAATCCCCTTGAGCTCCCCCAAGTGAGCAGCCTACACAGCCGGGAAAGGAATGAGGAAATACCTGTGCCATCAGGAGTGCTGCAAACAAACGTGGGCAGCATTTTCACAGTGGCTGCCGGGTGGGTTTCTTTCTTCAGGCCGTACTCCAGTTCTGTCCTCATTTTGTTTCTGACCTCGATGAGATTCTCTCGGGTTAATTTGAAAAGGGCCAAGACCTCATCAATCTGCTTCCGCTGAGACAGCAGCCTGTAGGCCACGGCGGTGACCATGGCAGCCCCCTTCCCGCTTCCACTCTCCGAAAGCAGGAATCGGACGTCACAATTGGGCACCAGCCGCCGGACGACCTTATGGAGACGCTTGGCATACCTGATAAGGAAGACCGCGGAGGTGACAGCAGTTGGGGCAGATTTACACCTTGTCATACAACCGTTGCACAACACCAGCACCTAACACCACTCACAGATGTCGGGTACTTATGTTAATGTGATAAAAGCGATGTCACAATAACACCGCTCCTTCTAGTTAGCTGGGACAGAAGGCCCAATGTAGGGGATCCCTACATTGTTCTTCAACAGCACGACCCCTGAAAGAGTCAATCCACAGCTTGGGGATCTTCCAGGGCCCGTTGCTCTCCCACCTTCAGCTGAAGTGCTGGTTGCACCCCAGCCCCACCTGGGGTGGGAGGATTTTGCTCTGTCTTACATATTGGCAAAAAAAATCAGAAAATAAAATACAAGCTGAATAGTCAAGACCTTATTGATGATCCAAGCTCTGTAAAGGACCTTGGAGTAGTCATCTCTAATGATCTAAGTGTTAGAGCCCACTGTAACTACATAGCCAAAAAGGCATTAAGAGTTGTTAACCTAATCCTACGTAGCTTTTTCCCTGGTAATATCACACTACTAACTAGAGCATACAAAACATTGGCTAGACCAATACTTGAATACAGCTCATCAGTATAGAACCCGCATTATGTATCTGATATTAGCACAGTTGAGAAAGTCCAGAAATATTTCACAAGAAGAGTTCTCCACTCCTCCACTCGTTGCAGAATACTTTATGCCACCAGTCTTGAAATTCTAGACCTAGAAAACCTTGAATTATGCCATCTTCAGTCTGATCTAAGTATGGTATATAAAATCATACATTGCAATGACTTACCTGTCAATGAATACTTCAGCTTCAACCATAACAACACAAGAGCACACAATAGATACAAACTCAAGGTTAACCGCATCAAACTTGATTGCAGGAAATACGACTTCAGCAACAGAGTGGTCAATGTCTGGAATACTCTACCTGACTCTGTGGCTTCTTCCCCAAAAACTTTAATCTTAGACTGTCTATTATTGACCTCACCCCTTTCCTAAGAGGTCTGTAGGGGGTGTGCATAAGCGCACCAACGTGCCTACCGTCCCTGTCCTATTGTTTCTTTTATTTTTCTTATATGTACCCATTTCATGTATTCATAACTGTGGCATTCGGAAAAGACTGAGCTGAAGTCTTCACTCCGGTCCGTGTTTCCAGCGGAAACACGGACTGTTCCTATTGGCTGATGCCGTTTGACAGCCGGCTATAAAAGAGAGCTGTCAAGCGGCATCAGCTGTTGTCCACCAGGTGGCTGCCTTGTTAGCACGGCAGCCGCGGCAAACCTTTATTGTTACAATAAAGTAAAAGCTGAAGTTCGCTCCGTGTTCGCCTCAGGTTATTCCGCCGCTCTACAACAATAACTATGTATATACTTATACCTATTATCTTGTAAGCAATTGACAAATCAAAATAAATAAATAAAATAAAAATAAAGTGACTCATATCCTTGTCCCCTCCCACTCCAACGCCTGCAACATGCTTTAAGATGAGGCTGCCTTAGAAGTTCACTTGAAGGTTATAGTTTCAGAGCTCAGTGGCCCATGTACTGGTCTGGTTCGTTAGCAAAAACCCCTGGCGTCATTGCTGTGGGTCCTACACTGGCTGCCAGTTGTTTGGGGCACCATTTAAACTGCTGATGTTACCGTAGAAAGCCCTACCTGCTCCGGCTATTCATTAGTTGCAGGCTCACATTCTTCTATTGGAGAAGGCCCAGCCAGGAGAAACTGGTAGTGGTTCTCCTCTACAGGGAGGTGAGAGGCGGCCAAGGCTCTGCGATGACCCCTTCTGGTGTCTGAAACTGTCCTGTGGATGAGTCCTCTGGTGGGCTCTTTTCAGAAGGAGCTCAAACGGGGGGCTCCTCCAGTGGGCATTCGGACCTTGATCTTACTTCAGGGGTCATTGGGTTTTGTTACTTTAATTGTATTCTGTATTTATTTCATTCTACATCATTGTGCAACTTTTACTTATATACTTTCACTGTATGTTGTTTTTATCTTGTAAAATCTGTCACATTTGTAATCTAATTCCAGACACAAAAGAAGGAGCGAGAGGGAGGGAGGGAGAGGCGGTGGGAAAAAGACAGAGACAGAGAGAGAGGGAGGGAGGGAAGGAGAGGGAGAGACAGAGTGACAGACAGAAAGAGAGGGAGGGAGAAGGAGAGGGAGAGACAGACAGACAGAAAGAGAGGGAGGGAGGGACAGGGAGAGGAGGAGACAGAGAGACAGAGACAGGGAGGGAGGGAGGGAAGGAGAAGGAGAGGGGGAGGGAGGGAGGGAGGGAGAAAGAGAGGCAGAGAGAGAGAGAGAGAGAAACTCCTTCCTTTTTGAAATACATTCTTGGTAGATAGGATGTTGATTTAAGTGAAATCTCAGTGGCTCATTCTACACAAGAAGAAAAATTAATAAGCTGCCCAGAGTTGCCTCAAGTTATGAGATGGGTGACATATATAAATTTTATAAGCAAGCAAATAAGTAAGTAAACAAACAAACAAACAAATAAATAAATAAGGCATATTCAACAAAACTGCCAGAATTGCATTTCTCCCTCCCTCCAATAGCAATTCTTCTAGCTTCCTAAACTTTTTAGGATCCAAAAGTCAGATAAGGGGACGTCCCGCCCCCACCCATCCACTCTGCGGCCCCCATGGCACATGCTTCCATACCCTATTTTTCAAGAACTGTGGAATCCAACCCACATGGAAAAAAAAAAGAAGTTTCTTCCAGTTCCTCTGCAGAAATTTAAATCTGGATTCGGCAGAAAGTGAGTGCTTTTGCGGCATCAGAATTACGCTTCATTTAACCCCACTTTCTGCCTCTCTAGACAAATATTAATCAGCTGAGCAAATTAAACACAATTTGCTCTTGTTTTGATCTGTTACTTGGTAACCAGAGACAAAGAACATTTCCAGACCACTAGGCTGTTTGATTCCAAAGCCTTCACAATGCATCTTAAATCACAGTTGGGTTGAGTTTCATCACTTTTTTCCAGACCTAAACCGACAGCAAAGACTATAGTCATAGACAAGTCTGTACACTATTTTGTAAACAGAGAGTACAGTGTAGGCATCAACATTCAATCCTCTCTCTTCATGTCTCCAAGCTAGCCAGTACATATTAATGCAAAAGATTACATATAAAATAAACTACCCGTATTTGGGGGGGAAGCAAACGTGGTAAGCAAAATGCATAAAGTAAGGAGGGTTAGCCAAGGAAAATGTGGCATGGGATAAGAAAAGAAGGTATCAACCTGTCTAGATCAGTATTTTTCAAACTTAGCAAAAAAGGTAAAAGATTGTTAGACTAGAATAGAATAGACCAGGCGTAGGGAAACTTGGCTCTTTTATCACTTATGGACTTCGACTCCCAGAATTCCTGAGTGAGCCCTAAAAGGTTCCCCATCCCTGGCCTACTGGTTTTTCAGTTGTGGGGGAAATCAATTTTTGACTTGAATGGGACTGTTTAATATACAAATGTATATGGCTCACTCAGGAATTCTGGGAGTTGAAGTCCATAAGTGATAAAAGAGCCAAATTTCCCTACCCCTGCAATAGAATAGCAGAGTTGGAAGGGACCTTGTAGGTCATTTAGTCCAACTTGGGTGGACTTCAACTCCCAGAATTCCCCAGTTGGCACTCTAGGAGTTGATATCCACCCATCTTAAAATTGCCAAATTTGAAAAAGACTGACCTAAATGTACTGATACCATTTACCATGACTCTCCTTGCCTTCTCATTCTTGCAAGACATCTTCAGCTCCACCCACCTCCACGTAAATACTGCTTTCCTGCCGTCTCCCTTCTGAAGGAGATCGTGGTTGGTACCACTATATACCTGCCTATCTTTAAACACGTGTGTGCATATCATTCGACTGAAGCCGCAGCACGCAGTTCAGCCATCCAATCGATCCTCTGACTCACTGGAAGGAGGAAGCATTGCCCACGGCTCCCCTGCTCCACACTCTTAACATCCAACTTACTGTGGATGGGTCTTGTACAGGGTCCCATCAATGCCAACCGTGGTTCGGAGCCTCAACAGTTTCTTATTTTCACGGAGCCGCGTCAGGATTGCTGCCAAGGCCGTGGCGCAGAGGTTGGCCGAGCGAAACGAAACAATTGTGCAAACATGCTGGACAGCAATGCAATCTTCTTCGGAGGGATCCAAGCCCAGTTCCCTTAGAATTTCTTTTGTGTTTCTTAGGCCTTCTTTATTCCTAGAGTCCAACCAAGAAATTAGGAAAATGGAATTTCAGTTACGGGAAGGGATAAAGTGACTTCTTAAAAGTTGAGGATGTACTGTGAATTACAAATTATACTGCAGGAGGGCCCTTTCTGTGAGAGGGAGGAATGGAGAGAGAGGGGGAGAGAGGGAGGAAGGGAGAGGGAGACAGTTGTTCTCAAATATGTCCAGAAATATTTCACAAGAAGAGTTCTCCACTCCTCCACTCATTGCAGAATACCTTATGCCACCAGACTTGAAACTCTAGACCTACAAAAATCTAGAACTATGCTGCCTCCGGTCCGATTTAAGTATAATACATAAAATCATACATTGCAATGTCCTACCTGTCAATGAATACTTCAGCTTTAATCATAACAACATAAGAGCAAACAATAGATACAAACTCAAGGTTAATCGCACCAAACTTGATTGCAGGAAATACGAGTGCTCAATGTCTGGAATACACTACCTGACTCTGAGGTTTCTTCCCCAAACCCCAAAAACTTTAACCTTAGACTGTCTACTATTGACCTCACCACTTTCCTAAGAGGCCTGTAGGGGGCGTGCATAAGCGCATCAACGTGCCTACCGTCCCTGTCCTGTTGTTTCTTTTCTTTTCTTATTTTTCTTATAGGTATCCATGTATTCATAACTATGTTTTTACTTATACCTATTATCTTGTAAGCAATTGACAAATCAAATAAATAAATAAATAAGAGAGGGAGAGAGAGGGAGACGGAGGGAGGGAGAGAGAGAGATTACCTTGGAGAATCAAAATGAAGACTTCTGTGAGGCTGTTATAGCAGCAGCTGAAGCTGAAAAGACAACCAGGACTATTTGCCACACTCAGGGCAGTAACAATGTTTTATAGGTGGTCTTACTTTCACAACCACAACTGAGCCCCAAATTTCTGTTCCTAAGCAAGACTCTTATTGCATAACCCTAACCCCCAAAACGTCAACCTCAAACTGTCTACCGTGGACCTCACTCCATTCTTAAGAGGTCTTTAAAGGGGGCGTGCATAAGCGCACCAGCGTGCCTACCGTCCCTGTCCTACTGTTCCCATTTATTTGTACATGAATTTCGCCTACAGTTGTTAAGTGAATCTGTTCGGCCTGGCTTCCCCATTCACTTTGCTTGTCAGATGGTTGCAAAAGGGGATCATCATGTGACTCTGGGACCCTGCAACCGTCATAAATATGAGTCGGTTGCCAAGCTTCCGAATTTTGATCATGTGATTATGGGGATAGTCGTAAGTTTGAAAAAAGTCACTTTTTTCAGTGCCATTGTAACTTCAAACGGTCACTAAATGAGCAGTTGTAAGTCAAAGACTATCTGTATTATCTTTTCTATATTGCATAGATATTCAAGTGAGCACCTCACCTCCACCACCCACCCCACAAAATCTCACAAATGCCTCCCTTACTTTCTGCCATGAAAAATCCCAATATTAAGTCAATTAATTAAATATTGATTTCTTTAAAAACCCTTTTCTGCTATCCTTGCATAGAGACTTCTTATCTGTGGCTCTACGGATAGGATCAAAGCCCAAACCAACTGCTTAAAGCAGCCAACTCACTTCGGACCATGTATTTAGTTAACTTTGAAGAGAACAGAAGGAAATATTTCCAGGGAAAGAACTGTGTAAATCCATGAAAGCAAAACTCTCAAGAGTCTTTTTAGAACAAATATAATTTTACAAGCTTACGCTTTCATCTTTTAAGGTAACGAAGAGTAAAAGAATATAAAAGAATACTGTAGATTCAAACCTCTTACTTTTCCATAGCGGCCACGTGTCTCGTCTCAATCTTCCCCTTAGTACAGAGTGCTGTGGATAACTTCCCATTGAAGAGCAAGCCTTTTCTTGCCATTTTTAAAAGGATAAACCTGACCAGTTCTCCCAGATATAATCCACTAATCATCTTCTCAAACCTACATTCAAACCGAGAAGAGTCAAATGTTAGATATATATCCCTGTAGGGAGATGTCAAAAAGGTTAAAGTGATGAAGCTTCAAACCCCATTTCATGTTCAAGTGGCCTTCAGTGAGAATTTCCTATTACAACAGATGACAAATTTCCTTTCACCCAGTGAAAATTTTCTTTTCAAAAACGTATGTTTTAAAATACAGGCATCTGATGTTTTGGAATTATTTCAAGGATGGTATTTTTGCACTTTGGATAAATAATCTGCCAAAAGTCTGAAATATGTCAGTCTGTGTTCAGTTTTAACTCAACGTTTCGCAATCTTCACAACTTTAAGATATGTGGACTTCAACTCCCAGAATGGCTGAGTGGCCAGAGAATTTGTGGAGTTGAAGTCCACATATCTGAAGGCTACCAAGGCTGAGAAAAAACTAGTTTAGTTTTCGCACAGCACTATTCTCAGCTGTTTGTCTGGAGGTCTTTTAGGCCATCAATTTATAAATTATCTGAACCAAAAGGCCTTTGGAATATAGGACTTACCAAGGTATTTGGACTCCAGCTCTCTCCAGTTCTTTTATATAGCACCTCCACTAATCACACAAATTCTTAGAGCTAAACTCAGAGTTACTGTGTGATAAGATGGGCGACTAATAAATTTTACAAACAAACAAACTTATTCAGCATAATTCCTGTTCCAATGTATGACTTAATTCAGTGTTTCTCCACCTTGGCAATTTTAAGATACATGGATTTCAACTCCCAGAATTTCCTCAGCCAGCATGCTTAGCTGGAGGATTCTGGGAGTTGAAGTCCACGCATTTTAAAGTTGTCAAGGTTGAGAGGCACTAGCCTCATTTGCTGCCTTAGTAGAAGAAAACCTTACAACGGCCTGACAACTCCACTTACAATTGTTTTCCAGGATTTATAGACCCCGAGTCAATCTCCTTGTCAAACTCTGTCCTAATGTCTTCCAGAGATGCATCGTCTCCAAAGGCTCCCCATTCAGTGTTAATGCACATCCGGCCTTCGTCCCCTTCTACTAGATCAATATTGCTCATCTCCTCCATGTAGCAAGCGTTGGTGCCTGTTCCTGCTCAGTCGTCGCAGTTTGAAAGGTGGAAAAAAAAAACAGAGAGATGAATAAACAGCTTACGTCACTCAGTCTAGAATGCGTTTCAAAACTACATGCATGAAGGACCCGATAACAAGATTGCTGGGGGAGGCACAGCTTGAAAGACATTTGCAATTCTGGAATATACAATAACAGAGTTGGAAGGGTTCTTGGAGGCCTTCTAGCCCAACCCTATTATACTATATTATACTATTCTGGACATATGATTGTCCAATCTCTTCTTAAAAAACCTCCAGCGATGGCGCATCCACAAGTTCTGGAGACAAGCCATTCCACTGATTAATTGTTTTCACTGTCAGGAAATTCTCCTTAGGTTTAGTTTGGATCTTTCCTTGACAAGTTTCCATCCATTGCTTCTTGTCCCGCTTCGGACAATAAATTGACCCCCTTTCCCCTGTGACAGCCTCCCAAATACTGAAAGACATCTATCATGTCACGCTTAATCCTCTCTTCGATAGGCTAGACATACGGAGTCCCTTTAATCAATCATTCATAGACAAGGAATAATGGATGGAAACTGAACAAGGAAAGATTCAGCCTGGAAATAAGGAGAAACTTTCTGACAGTGAGAACAATCAACCAATGGAACAGAAGTTGCCCTCGGAAGTTGTGGGAGTGCCATCACTTGAGACTTTCAAGAAGAGATTGGACTGGCATTTGTCAGAAATGGTGTAGGGTCTCCCGCTTGGGTGGGGGCTTGGACTAGATGACCTACAAGGTCCCTTCCAACTCTGATTATCTGTTATCGTACGGTTTAGCCTCCAGCCCCCTATTCAACTTTGTTGCTCTTCTTTGCACTCTTTCTTAGAGTCTCAATGTGTTTTTTTTGTATCATGGTGGCCAAAACCGGAGACAGTATTTCAAGGTCGCTCTTACCAAAGCAGTATAAAGTGGTACTAACATTTCATATGATCTTGATACTATCCCTCTGTTGATGAGCCTAGGATCGCATTGGCTATTTGGGTAGGTGCAGCACACTGGTGGATGATACTTATGTGGTTGACCACAAGGACTCCTAGATCCTCTTCACAATTTCTGCTGTTGAGGCAGTTATCTCCTATTCTATGCCTATGCATTTGGGTTTTCTTGCCTAGGTATAAAACCTTACTTTTATCACCTCCGAGTTCCATTTTGTTGGACAGGGTGCTCAACGGGGTTCAAGTTTGTCAAGATGCCAGCAAGATGCCAGGCAGTACAGGGAGTCCTCAACTTATGACCCTAATTGAGTTTGAGATTATGGCTATAAGCCATGCCGGTTGTTAGGTAGATTATCACATGGTCTATTTCACAACACTTTTTTTGTGATGGTCATTAAGCAATCCCATCGCCTAAAAATGGGTGTTTTTTTGTCAGAAATCAGAAGTAAGTGCCATTTTTTCAGCAAAAAAAAAAAACCAGTGTGTTGTGGTCTTGCGACTTCAGGACATTGTAAATGGCCATAAAAACAGGCCAGTTCCTGAGTACCCAAAATGTGGGCAGCTATCAGAACTTTGAATGTGGGTGGTAAGTAGGTAAGCAACGGGTTGTAAATCGAAGACTGCCTTTATTCAAGCAGCCATATAAAAATTCAATTAACCAAGATTAGTTATTTCGATCAAAACAATGATAAACTAACTTGCATTAGCTGAAACAATGATAAAATAATAAATGTATTAGCTCAAGGCCCATGGGTTAGATATGGCCTGCGGAGTGCTTAGATCTGGCCAGTGGGCTTCCTCTAGAAACAGTGAAGGACTGGCCCACAGTGCCCCTGCACATGAAAATGGAACTTGGGAGGGCCACGGGCAGCCTTCCTGGGCTCTGTTTTCAGCCATGATGGCCCTCTGCCAGCAAAAACAAAGCCCGGGGAGGCCGGAAACAGGGCGTCAGTGACTTATGTTGAGCTAGTCACGCCCCTCCTGGCCACGCCCCCCCAAAGATCAAACACAACCCGGATGTGGGTCTCAATGAAATCCAGTTTGACACCTTTGGCCTAGAGCAAAATGCGGTGATTGAATTATTAAATGATTTTTTTTAACAACATCTATAATTTATTCAAATTAAACTTAAATTTGGAACATAAGTCTTAGCATCAGCTAGTCTGACTCCATCTTCTTACTAAAAGAATATAAACTTACCAATAATGACACCAACTTCGCATCGCTGGTCATCATATCCACAAGTCATCATTGTTCCCACAGTGTCATTGACCAATGCCAAAACTTCTACATCAACATCCTAATGACACAAATGCAACAGAACCTCCAATGGTTTTCAACAAGTCTAATTTTTTTTTAAGGAAGTAAGATCTATTCATGATATTACATAAGTTTGCTTTATACCAAGGGTCTGCAACTTGAAACACTCAAAGAGTTGTTTGGACCTGTTTCTCCACAGAAAAGAAAACACTGGGAGCCAATAATTTAACAACCGGTGTGACTGGGTGGATGTGGCCAACTCGAAGTTGCTCACTCCCACCCAGTCATCTCCTGCTCTGGAACATGAAGTGAATCTCCATCCCCCACCATCACCCTTACCTTCTCAGGCCAAGCGAGGAGTGATGGGGGAGGGGAGGCGCAGGGGCAGCCAGTGGTGAGAACAGCCAACAGGGAACCGCAACAGAGGGCCGAAAGAGCCGCATATGGCTCCAGAGCCACAGGTTGCAGGACCTTGCTTTATACAATCAGTATTGTTATATTATTGGACAGAGCTTTTGGGTCACTGGTATTCCCAGAACATGGGTCACTGGTAACTCCAGATACCTTAGGTCAGGAATTTCAACAATGGCAAAAAAAATCAAATGATCAGGCTTATATTACAAATAAATTACTGTCCATAAATAAATCAAAGTATCGGTGAAACCATCTAAATGCCGTTAAAACTCTTGTGTCGGTATCCTTTAGGTGAACTAGACCATCATAGGACCACAATTTTTTAACCAAGGTACACAAATGGGCTAACTTACAGAAATGTATCTGAAATCTGGGACTCCCACCACCTGTGGAACTGAAATCTGCCAAATTTTATAAACCATTTTATGACATTAAAATGATCCTAAAGTATTTTGTGACACAAAACAAAATGTCATAACACATTTCCCATGGCCAACTCGGATGTTTGATTGTGCTATACAGTTCAACATGGGCTACTCCCAAGGCAGATCTATCTTTGAATATCTCCTTGAATTTTTAAGAACTTTTAAGTACCTCAGAAGCTCTGTTTATGTGAAGGCATTGAGGAATCTGGTAAGGAAATTTCTCTGAGCTGTTTAGCTTTGAAATAATGAATGGGACGGTTTTTTGTGTGTGTCAAATTCAGTATGCACATCCACAGAAGTCTGGTAGTATCTTTTCCAACACATCTATTTTATTCTCATAAAAGACATCACTTTGTGCCTGTTAACAAAAGTCAGAACTGGTGCTATCAGAATCTTGATTGTTTTGTCACTATAGACCAGGGGTCCCCAAAATTGGCAACTTTAAGACTTGTGGACATAGCTGGCTGGAGAATTCTGGGAGTTGAAGTCCACAAGTCTTAACGTTGCCAAGTTTAGAGACCTCTGCTGTAGACCAAAAGAACTTTCCTTCTATTCAGCAGGCATAATCAATAAACAATATACACACTGCAGCTGAAACACAGGTTATTCAGAAAACGTATCAGGTTGAACTTGCCTTGTGCTTTCTGAGGGCTTTGCACAGATTGTCCACCACATCCGTCTGTTGCACCCCTCGGACTTTAAAATGTTTCGTCCACGAAAGAAGGACCCCCTACCAAAGGAGCAATTATTAATAATAATAAATTAGACGATGTTGATATAAATCCATTCATGTTTGTGACTGGTGACTCAGCAAAAGCGATAGGATAAAAACATAATTTATCACTGAATAAAAGAAGGACTTTTTGGTGACACGAGAGCAGCATTCCAGTATTTGAGGGGCTGCCACAAAGAAGAGGGGGTCAAGTTATTTCCCAAAGCACCAGAGGGCAAGACAAGAAATAATGGATCGAAATTAACCAAGGAGAGAAGCAACCTGGAATTCAGGAGAAACTTCTGAACAGTGAGGACAATTAACCAGTGGAACAGCTTTGCCTTCAGACCTTGTGGGTGCTTCATCACTGGAGGTTTTTAAGAAGAGACTGAGCAGCCATTCGTCTGAAAAGGTATAAGGTCTGCTGCTTGGTTGGATTAGAAAAACTCCAAGGTCCCTTCTAGCTCTATTCTGACTAAAATGCTTAAGTTTTTTCCTGGTTTTGAAATGCAATTGAGTCCTGATGTCTTAAAGTTTAATGATTCCTAGAGGAGCCCAGATTCCCTATTCTATACCGACGTTCGGGAAAAAAATGCATAGGATTGGAACAGTACCAAATGGCTTCATCTCAAGCACCATTCAGTTCTTTTCAGACAGGAGCATGGATGGCCCAGATCCTCATCCTCTCATTTTCACCCCTTTTTCAGGTTGTTTAAAAGCAAGGTCCTAGACTAGATTTGGATGAAAAACTAATTGATATATCCTACTATAATATTAGCTTGCACACTTTAGAGCAGAATTCTGGGAGTTGAAATCCACACATCTTCAAATTGTCAGAGTTGAGAAACGCTGCTTAAAATTATTTGGTGACAGTAAGTAATTTATTACCAATAATTTACCAACCATAACTTTACTCTGCTTTTAATGTGACACACACGGTTGCGCTTACCTCCTCCAATTTTTTCTGCCTACAGGGAAAAGAAAAGGTAAAACCAAGAGGTAGTTTCTTATATTTTATGTCCTTTGTCTCCATAAAGTCTGCAAGACAGTCAGCCACATATTGAAACAGCTGGAAAGGAACACAGACTAAATATTATTTTAATGGGTTAATAATACAAAATGCTTTTTGCATTTCCTTTCAAATAAAGATTCTAAGCAGCTCACACTGAAGAAGAGGTAAATATTATCAATTATCTATATAGATAGTTCTTTTTCTTAAGCATGCACGCCGGCTAAAACGTCTTCTTACATCAGTGTAACTAATTTGTTACCATTACAATAAAAAATAATATTTATTCTCAAACTCAACCTCCAAGTGTTTGGGGCTGTAATCTCTCAGAATTTGTAGCCATCAGGAATTCCGCAAACTGCAATGCTAATATAGAGGGGAAATCTGTTAGATCGCGGGAAAAGGGACTCGAGACCAGGGTGACTATTCAGCTCTTTATTTGGTATACAGATCTGTGTTGGACCTGCGAGCCGCGGCAGCCCTTCGTATAGGGATTGCCGGCGGCTCGCAACCAATGACGGCTCTTTGAATCTCCCGCGATCAGCGCGGCCAATCGCAGTTGATTCATTACGAGCCAATCACTGCAGTTCTTTCCACCAATCACAGAGTAGTCCGTTTGGACCAATCAAGTGAGGGTATTCCAAGAATACTAATATGGAACAAAATCTATGTGTCAGACCTACTCCAGTCAGATGCCTTAGGAAAGAAAGGCCTTCAACTCCATTAGGGTGAAGTCAGGCTCTTTTACCGAAGGTTGCTGGTTGCAGTAAAATCAGGCTAGAACTAAGATTCCTGTGCAAAAGGATACAAATTTCCCCCCTCATCCCAGCCCTCTTCATTCATAGGTGTTTTGAGAATCGCCAAGATGTCTGGGACAATCCACATTCCATTCTCAGGGTGCATGGCCTTGAATACTGGAACAAACTGGTTCTGTGCTTTCCTGGTCTTCATCAAACCGAAATCCCCCCTCCCTATTTTCCATCACATCCCCCATGCTTGTTTATTGCTCATTTATCGTCCCCCCGCTTGCCCCCTCCCCACTAGCTTTTGATGGCAGGATGCTGGCAAGGCACCAACCCGAAGATGGCAGAACTGACACTATGTTTGGTGTTGAACCTTCCTTATTTGAGCTTTCCAACCAGAGAGAAAGAGTTGTTAACTCAGACCATCCTCCCCATAAGCAATGTTTTTCAATCTCGGCCCCTTTAAGATGTGGGGGTTTCTGGGAGCTGAACTTCGTACATCTTAAAGGGGCTGAGACTGAAAATATACTAGAGATTTCATGATTTTGCTATCCAAGGAAGAGTTTGACAAATTAATCTGTAAAACCACAGGAACTAGAATTCACAGATTTAGGAAATCAATTTGCAGATACCTATCATCCACTGAGTTGAATGCAGCAAATTCTGGTGAAAGTTCCAGAATTTGCAACGATTAAACAAGAAGTTGTAGGATGCAATGTTCATTTATGACATGCCTCAAAATCCATACGAGCAAATCCCAAAGGGATACAAATCTCAAAATGATACGGTACTTACATCTGTTCCACTTCCTTGTATGATTTCTTTAGGAGTTGGGTAGAACTGACTATCCATTTGTACATGTTGTTTTCCTTCTTCGGCTACTTTAACGTGCAGGACTTTAAATTTGGAACCACCCAAGTCCAAAGCTAGGAATTCTCCCTTTTCTGTAATGGAAGTAATAGTGAGTAATGATTAATTCCTGTACAAATTCTTGCCAAATGATGCTTCATGAGCCTCAATAGTTTTTTAATACAGAGACAGGATACGGCTATTGGATGCAGCCATGTTTGAAGAACCTCTAGTCTACAAACACATGAGCCCACATTTAGCCTTCAGTACAACATTTAGTCTACAAAAACATGAGCTGTGGTGGCACAGTGGTTAGAATGTCGTATTGCAGGCTAATTCTGCTGACTACCAGCAGTTCAATTCTCAACAGCTCAAGGTTGATTCAGCCTTCCATTGTTCTGAGGTGGGTAAAATAAGGACCCAGATTTTTGGGGGCAATACGCTGACTTTGTAAACTGCTTAGAGGGCTGTGAAGTAGTATATAAGTGAGTACTATTGCTATCTATAAAGACATACAAGTGTCATAAAAGATCAATTTCTTGTGAATATATCAGGTGAATACTGTCCCAAGACTACGAGTAGAGCCTCACTGTGGACTTTCATCACAAATATTAAAAGTGTCATAATATCAAGAAATAATCTGAGACTTAAGCTATTGTAGGGGTGCAAACTCAATTTCATTGAGGGGTTGCATCAAGGCTGTGGTTGACCTCAGGGGAGCCAGGGGACGTGATTAACTGGGTGAGTGTGGCCAGCTTGACACCACTCCCCAAGTGCTGGCATGTTTCCTCTTCACACTGGGTAGACCGTGTAGGAGCCATTCTGGCCCGATGTTTCCTCTTCTCATTGATGACCGCACAGGCCGGATCTGACCACATTGCGGGCCAGATGCAGCCCATGGGTCTTGTGTTTGACACCCCGAGCCAGGGGTGGGATTCAAATTTTTCAACAACCGGTTCTGTGGGCGTGGTTTAGTTGGTGGGCATGACTTGGTGGTCATGTGACTGGCTGGGCATGGCCAACCCAACATCACTCACATTGAGGCACACATCTCCTCGCCTGGCCTCTTGTGACTGTGGGGATGCTGCAACAGTTGTAAGTCATAAGTCATTTTTTTCAGTGCCATTGTAACTTTGCATGGTCACTTCACACAAGCAAAGTACCAGCAAAGGAGGGGGAAAAAAAACTCCAGAGAAGTTCCAGAGACAGGAAGTCTAGTCCTGCCAAGAATGTAATAAGGGTTAACGGAGAGGCAGGTTCTGTAAGCAACACCAGAATGTTTCCTTCCTGCCTTCCTTACAGGATTAGGCCTGTAATTTCTTCTAACAACCGGTTCTCCAAACTGCTTAGAATGTAAACAACCAGTTCTAGCGAATAGGTGCGAACTGGTAGAATCCCACTGCTGCCCTGAGCTCTACCTGACTCTGTGGTTTCTTCCCCAAACCCCAAAAACTTTAACCTTAGACTGTCTACTAATGACTCACCCCTTTCCTAAGAATTCTGTAGGGGGCATGCATAAGCGCACCAACGTGCCTACTGTCCCTGTCCTATTGTTTCTTTTTTATTCGTATCCATTTCATGTATTCATAACCATGTTTATACTTATACCTGTTATCTAATACTTGCTTGACAAATAAATAAATAATAAATAAATAAATATTGGGTAAAGATCTTCTAACGTCAGAGCGATCCTGCCATTCTTGGATTTGCAAAGTTATCCAAGAATAGCAGGATCCCTCTGACATTATAACAAGGGATCCATTATAACGAGGGCTCGGTAGTGAGCTACTGTCAACTGTCTCACTCAAGTCATCTAGCAAAGAACAAGTCCTGGCCATTGGTTTTGCCAAGAGTATGCTTTACTGAAGCTTAATGGTTACAGAAGTAGTGTAAGCTGAATGCGAGGATTTTCCGTGCAAACAGCACAGTGGAAATTTCTCTCTCCCCCTTCCCCCCCCCTCTGGTTATCTGCAAATGTTCCATCAGGTGCTTGTATATTGTTCAGGAGACAGGTAGTCAGCTCCCAGCTCAGCACTTCATTAATGACCTTGGGTGGTTGTAGCTTCTCCCAAGGCTCAACTGGGCTTTCACCCCCTACCCCACTCCCGCTTCTTCCTTGCATTCCAATCTTTCCCTCCCCACCCCCGCCAATGGTGCTAATGTCAGGCTGTCGGCTCATGGAAGCTTGCATAGGTGAGATGCAGCCATGACAGATACAATGAGGATGTGGTCATGATGCAGGGATGTCAACAGAAAAGGGTTGGGGCCTGAATGTTTGGGGTTGAGCTTGGATTATTCCCAAGTTAAGTGTGTTAAGTATGTCAGAATTTTAGAGCTTGTTTAGAGCCAGGGTTCCCAACCAAGGGCGTAAGACGATGTTCCAGGAGGTGCAAAAAACTTGGGTTTAGAAGTTTTAAAATTTAAAAAGTGCATATGCACAATTATATGGATATGATTACTTATTTTTGTAAGAGGTGCGAGAATATATCAGAAGCATTCTAGGGGTGCGGAGTATAGAAAAAGTTGGGAACCTCTATTTTAGAGCTTATTTTTTTCTAAAACAGCAAAAAATAATAGCGTACTACCAAAAATGTGCTGCCAGATTTTACCAGTGTAACCTGGAAAGGCTCTAAGAACCAGAACAATGACGTTGGAGCTACCTGAAACTTTAAGCCTCCTGCCTATTGGGACACCGTGACCATTATCAATACATGCCAATTGCCAAGCACCCAAATTTTGGTCACATGACTGGGGATGCTTGCAGCAATCATAAATGCCAGGACCCATCATAACTTGTAACTGCCATCATAACTTTGAATCGTCTCTAATTGAATGATTGTAAGTTGGGGAATACCTGTTGGATCAAAAGAAAGACCTTACCTGAGCCATCGGGAAGTGACCTCACAAAAGTTGGTAGCATTTTTACAGCAGCTGTTGGATTGGTATCTCTTCCTAGACCTTTCACCATCTCTGCTTGGAAGCGAGTCATCACATCGTGTAAAATATCATCAGAAAGGCGCATCTGGTATAGGTACCGATCAACCTTGGAATAAAATATGCTAGCAACTCGTTATTGTTCTCTTTCTCTCTCTTTCACTCACTCACTCACTCCCTCGCTCGCTCCCTCTCAATAGAACTTTTGTAGGGAATATACCTATGTGTGCTTGTTGTGGGAATGAATGTGTAACTCCAGATAAGTGAACACAAGGGGAATAAAACGGAAGACCTCCCAACCTTTGGGAAGATGGAAAATGCCATCGGGTGAATCAGAAGATCAATGGAAAAAAGCTTCTAGAAGACAAAGTATTCCATTTCCACCCTGAAAACAACATTCCCTCTTTGAAAACATCAAAAATGCCCCCAAATTGTGCTGCTAATTTTGGGTACCAAAATTAATGCATTTTGACACCGTAATTTTCAGGGCCCTGGAGGCATTACAAGCGGGAAAGAACTTGACTACTTTTAATTCTGAGCACAAAAAATAAGGGGGAAGGGTTTTCCCCCAAAACAGCCACTTCATTTATGCCATCTGTGGCAGTTTTTATTTTATTTATTTGTTTGTTTGTTTATTTATTTATTTATTTGTCAATAGCTTACAAGATAATAAGTATAAATACAGGAAATGGGTACGAATAATTGGGGACAATAGGACAGGGACGGTAGGCGCGATTGTGCACTTTATGCACGCCCCTTTCTGACCTCTTAGGAATGGGGTGAGGTCAATAGTGGTTAGTTTGAGAGAAAAGGAGTGGGGGTTTGGTGTGTAGTAGTAGAGTCTGGTAGTGTGTGCAAGGCATTGACCACTCTGTTGCTGAAGTCGTACTTTCTGCAATCAAGTTTGGAGTGGTTTACATTGAGTTTGTATCTGTTGGGTGCTCTTGTATTGTTACAGTTGAAGGTGAAAAAGTCATTGATTGGTAGTCCATTAAAGCAAATTATTTTATAAACTATGCTTAAGTCAAACCGCAGGCGGCGGAGTTCTAGGTTGTCCGAGTTCAAAATCTCAAGACTGGTGGTTTCTTTTTCTTTTCTTTTTCCTTTTATTTGTAACAGCTCAGGCAGAGCTGGCCCAAAGCACTTTGCAGCTTGAAAGTCCAGATAAAAGTGGAAAGCACACCATATGGAGGAGCTAAGTCTGGACTGGGAGAAGAACTTTCCTTCAGGTTTGGTGGCAAGGCAGCATCTTTCATGATGTGTGAGGGAAGGGCGCTTGCTTAGCCTATACAGTATGGAGGGAATTGCTTTGCTTCCTGTAGGCAAGTTCCAACTTCTTCTCCTTGGAATCCCCTACCTAACCAAATAGCGATCCTTAAAAAGGAGCAAAGTCTATTGTCAGGCAGGGATTTATAATGCCTGGTCTTCTAGAGTTTGCATATTTATTCTGCGCTACCCATCAAGGAATTGGTTTGGTTCTGTCTTAATGAGAGAGTACAATCGTTGCAAGTTTATGTGCCCGAGTGGGGAAACGGTAGCTCTCCAGAGGTTGTGAGTTAAATGTTGCCCACAGCTGCAGCACACCTACCTTGTACTTGGAAACATGGAGCGCTCATGTCAAAATGCTAAATTAAAACTGTCCGTTACTGACTGAGAAATGCCATTGTGGGTACAAATGTGTTTGGAAAGAAGATGGATTGGGGAAATTAGGTCTGGTGTCCCTAGAAATTCCTCTATCTGGATATTTCATAAATAGATTCTGTTATGCAGCCAATGACTTTTACTCACACTGTATTTCGGATGATTTTATCTGTTGTCATTACTTTTGAAGCCAAATTGTAAGGATTTACAATGCTTACACAGAGGGAACGAGAGAGAGAGAAGGATTGTTAGAAACGAAGCAGATACTGTTGGGACCTTATTAGAAAAGATATTGCCTTTTATTGGGAAAATTCTCATAGATAACACATGGTGGGGCTTTGATCACATAGTTGTAGCTGCCATTTTGACTTTTTTAAGCACCCCACTTCCCCAAGCCTTCTCCTTGCATATTCCTGGACATTGAATCATGACTTCTGGTGGAGGCAGAATTACAGAATAACGTAAGACCTTGGAGGCCAAATCCTTCTCAGGCAGGAAACCCTATACCAGTGGTGGCTAACCTTTTTGGGCTCCTGTGCCAACAATTGTGCGCACGCTCGCATGCCAGCACCCAAAAGGCAATGCGCATGCCCCTCCACCCCTGCGCATGCGTGCACAATCCCCCCATCGCCCCCTGACCTGCACTGCGCATGCGTGTGCCTCCCAGCTGATTTTCAGCCTGTTTGAGGCCTTTTTCGGGCTCCCAGAGGCTCGAGGGAAGCCTCTGCAACCTTTGGAGGCCGAAATATGGGCCCGTTTCATCATTTCCAGTATTTCCAGAAATACAGCTGGGAGGTGTGCACATGCGCACTGAGGTAAGTTTGCCTGGGGCTCCGGTGCCCGTACAAATGGCTCTGTGTGCCACCTGTGGCACACTGCCATAGGTTCGCCATCACCATTTCAGACAAATTGTTCTCCATTCCTTTCTTAGAAGCCTCCAATGATGGATCACCCATTAATCAGCCATTCCACAGATTAAGTTTTCTCACTGTCAGGAAATTTCTCCTTGGTTCTCTAGGTTGCTTCTCTCCTTGGTTAGTTTCCACCCATCGCTTCTTGTCCTGCCCTTAGGTGCTTTGAAAAATAGGTTGACACCCCCTTTTTTTGTGGCAGCCCTTCAAATATTGAAACACTGCTAGCATGTCTCCCCTCATCCTTCATTTCACTAGACTAGACGGGCCCAATTCCTGCAACTTTTCTTCATAGGTTTTAGCCTCCAGTCCCCTAATCTTCTTTGTTGCTCTTCTCTGCACTCTTTCCAGAGACTCAAAATCTTTTTTATAATATGGAGACCAAAACTGAATGCAACATTCTAAGTGTGATCTTATTAAAGTTTTATACAGCAGTACTAATACTCCACATGATTCTAATTCTATCTCTCTGTTAAGGCAACCTAGGATTACATTGGGTTTTTGGGCTGCTACCGCACACTGGTGGCTCATATTTAAGTGACTGTCCACTAGAACTCCAAGATCCCTCTCATAGTTGAGCCAAGTTTCATCTTATCTATTCCTGTACATTTAGTTTTTCTTGCCTAAACCTTACTTTTTGAGTTTCTCTGAATCAGATTAAACTTTGCAGATATGGATGGGTTCTCTGAATGAGTTCTGTTACACACAGCTTACAATTTGGTTTCATGCACACACTGACTCAGAGTAGCGACTTCTTATGCCTCCTACGTATAAGATGGGAAGAAGCCGATACTACACACTTGAGTCTGTGCCTATCCCTGGATTGACAAAACACAGCTATCTCTGTGATCAAAAAGCTAACATTTGTTTTGTCTTTCTTGCAGAGTGAGTCTTCAACCCTTTGACCCTTTCTGGAAACTCAGATTAAGGAAAGGTGATGTGAGCACATATTCATACCTTCCATTTCCAGTGTTAATAATAACTGAAACCTGGGAAAGTAAACCTTTAAAATAAAGCTGTTCTTATCAGTTGGCCTGAATGTTTTCTGCATTGAAAATAGTAATTATGATTTGATTTTTGCGGATCAAAAATCCTCAACTTCTGGTTTTAGAAACAATGAAGAGAGATCTTTGTTCTCTACTAATCAAAGAGATTACCAGCTATTGATAGTGAGTTCTGATCAGCAGCTTGTAGTTTTTGTTAGTAATGCTCATAGTATGCAATACTTAAACTTTCTACACGTAGTAGTTTAGACATTACCTACAGGCTTGTAGTTTTTGTTAGCCATGCTCATAGTATGCAATACTTAAAACTTTCTACACGTAGCAGAGTTTACACATTACCCATAGACTTGTGAAATGGCCTGTTGATTTCCCCAGAACAAAAGTTTAAGACTGCAATCTTGGATTTATCCTTAATCCCCTTTGTACTGCTGAAGTAAGTTTTGAGAGGGAGTGGTTTTTAAAGACAAACCTGAAATGGCAGCACTTGAAAATCTGACCCAATCCCAAGAGCAAATAAGGGAGAGAAGAGGTTCTAACTTTTATAATAGGGATTTGGAAGGGGGAGAAAATAGAGCTGACTATCTTGGAGTATATAAATGTGGCTAAGTAACAAAAATTACAGTAAGACTACTATTAACGATGACTCGAGGAGGCAAGCAAAACTTGTTGGGAAATAGGTCAAGACTTAGGCGCGAGTGTCCACATATGGATTTTTTTTCTCTCCAGAAATCAGACTGTGTTTTTTAGAATTAAGAGGGGTGTGATTCCAGTTAGAGCCATGGTGAAATTGAAGGTGAAGGTCTAATTCTTTATCCACACATCAATCACATCACTTTCACTGTTTAAAATTAACTTCAGAAGAAAAATATTTCCTGAAGTGGTACAAAATATCTAGGTTTCCAAATAAAATAAATGGTTGAAATGTGTTTGGAGTATTAGTAGTTCAGGTTAGAAGTTAGGCTGTTGGTTTGAGCTCCGAGTTTGGCAATTGGGTTGCAAACATTTTGTCACCATTCAAGGAGACATTGTCAGTGTGTTTTGAGTATAAATGGTTTGTTCTGTAAAGTAAAGAGTAGGCTTCAGGTTTGGTCAACTGTATTAATATGTGTAGTTCTGTCAAACTTTACAAAATCCTGGAAAGAATTTGGAAGAGAATCAACTCGGACATCTTCATAAACTTTATTGGGGTCAAAGAAGAGGATGACCTGACTTACACATTATAGAAAATACTGGCCCCAACAATGACCCTTTGTTGCTCATTGTTTTGAATGACAAGCTTCATTATGCGTCTACAGCAACATCTTTGTTCTCCAGTGGTTAATACTACTGGGAAAGGGCATTTGTGTAATTTCTCTACAGTGTGAGTAGCCATCTTTGGAACAAAGCAAATTCTACATGGGGGAGGAAAGAATGGAAATATCTTAATTTTCCTAGAATTAATTTGCATCTCTAAGTTATTAATCTTAATAAATAAAACTCTGTGTGACTAACTGATAATGTTTGAATTACCGATATAGTCAGGCTAAAAAGAAAAGATGCTAAAATGAAGGGTCCTTCTAAAGTTTTGAGATAGATTCATGTGATACATATGAGGTAGATTTGAGACAGGATAATATATCTTAGATGGGCTGTGAAAAGAATCCAGATTAGCCAGCAATGGTCCATACTTGCTTGGAGGTTTTAGCTCCACATCTGAAAAGCAACAGGTTGGAAATATCCAGCCACATTAAGATTCATATTCTGCATTTTGGTTTTAGATCTTAGAGACATTGTTGAATGTCCTCCAATAACTCTGGTGAAGTGCAGATTGGCACACTATGGAATGTGAAATAGTGAGTCCCAGTTACCACACTGCTGGCAGTTAGATTAATAAAATTATCCCCCAGAGAGGAGTCCCTAACCTCCAATCCTCAGACCAGTACTGGTCCGCAGCGCATTGGGAACCAAGCCACACAAATGGGCAAGTGCGCAAAGCTCCATTTGTGCATGTGCGGGGATTAGGTTGTGTGCATGAAACCATCCCATTCCCCCCTGCCATCGGTGATCTGTGGAACTGGGAATGTTGGGGACCACTGCCTTAGAGAACCCACCTTAAGTTCATCTACGTAGAAGGAGGCCCAGAAGAGATTTTCTTCTAGTGGACCTTCTCAAACATGGAGCCAAGATCTAGACAAACAGGTGGTCTCACTGAATCTATTTTTTTTAAACTACTTATTAATGTAATCAGTTTACTCATAGAGTTGTTTTGAGTATTGTGGGCTATTTCTTAAGTATGCAAGTATTTCCTAAATATTCTGGTTGAAGTGCATGAATGAAGTCAAGAACATAAGGAAACCTGCTAGGTCAAGCCAAGGTTTATCTTACTTTGTTTCTCACAGTGGCCATTATAAGCTTCTGGGGTGTTCATTAGCAGATATGGTCCTCTCTTGCCACCGTTCTCCACACCTGGTATGTGCAGGTATGCTGTCCCCACTTGTTGTCAATGGCAGTTTCAGATGTGAATGTACTGTAGATTTGTGTAACCTCATTATAATGATGACAACATTATTTCCAGTTATTTTCGTATTGATCCTTTGCAAGGGACTGACCTTTTCACAGAACACTGCACACTGAGTCTACATCCTCCATCACTCAGTATGACCACATCATCTTTTTCCTGGTAGTAACTGACCACTTAGCCCCATTGGTATATAAGTGAAGTTTGAGGGTGGTTTGTTCCAACATGCACCCCTTCACACTCAAAAAGTGAATAGTATTTGCCATTTGATCATTCCCTCAGTTTAGAGAACCATTAGGAGCCCTTCATAGTCACTTTTGAATAGTTTAGTATAACTGTATGTTCAAGCTCAGCCAATTTACTTTTTGGCCCTAATGAAGAACCTTTATGAACAAGTTAGAAAGCCAGATTCTTTGAGAGAATCAAAACCAATAGAAAAGAATAAATGTAGCTCAGAGTTGAACTGTGGGGAACTTTGTGCTCTCTAAATTTTCTTTTAATCTCTCTTCAGCACTGAAGGTGTTGTCTTGTCCAGTCATAAAACATCTGCAAGCAAGCAATTGCGTTCAGAAAGAGAACCAAGGAATTCACTACTTGACTCCTTCCTTCCTTCCTTCCTTCCACTGAGAAAATTTGCCATTGGTTTCTACTCTTTGCTTCTCCTTTGTGACTGGATTAACAAGAGGACCTGGGCCTGTTTAGATGTGCAAGGTTCTTAAAGTCTTCTCAAAAATTCAGTGTCAGTAGGGAATCACCTCATCTACATGTCTGCTGACTTTGTAAAAAAGAAAAAAAAAGGGTGCAGAAGTTTGATAAGTAAGCTAGACTTCTGCAGATTTCCCACCAGCCAGCAAGGTTGGTTCCTGTATACAATGAGCTTCATTCTTCCCCTCAGCTTTCCACTTCCACCTACTTGGTCCAATTAGTTTGAATCTCTTCTTTTGGGGCCCTCTTCAAGAATTAGTTTCATAGGCAACCGTCCAGTCCACTGGGATTGAGGCCAATTTAAGAATCTCCGTTCCATTTTCTGCTAGGATGTTAGCAGTCATGTCTGAGCCCTTAAGAATGCTCAGGAGGATACCATCAGAACCAAGCGCTGTTGGGGGCATAGTTGAAAAACCCAGAAATCATTATCAATTCCAAATTAAGGTGGTAGAATCGCTTCATTTCAGTGCTTCCTTTACGAAGGTTGGAAGTCTGCATGACAAACTTCTCATGGTTGTAGGAATTCCTTCCAGATGATGGCCGCAAGATTACAAGGGGGTGGGGAGGCAGGCAGAAGAGCAGAAACCCGTAAGTTATTGAAGGACAAGAACAGACCCAGGAAACCACAGATTGGAATAACACTCAGCTCCATCCAGGTGCACCAACTCTACCCCTAATGATGCGATTACAGGGTCATAAATGGGGAGTTTAGAACTTTTTCCCCGTTGAATAAAATTATAGGGCATTTGATGGAAGGACCTCCAGTTGTATCGCTGTAACATTTAGCTCTGGAAAGAGATTCGGTGGTCTCTCCTAATCTTGATTTATTTTCATCTCAGGTAATGATTCATTTAAATATAAGACCGAAAATGTTACACCGATCGATGCAGGCGTGAGAAGTAACCCATAGGAACTGAACCTTCCTGTCTCATTTAAAAAAAAAGATATTTATTACACAAAACATTAGGGAGAGTTCTATCACGGCTTCATGACAACTGGTGCTGCTTTTTGACTGTATTTTGCTTCTGGATAAAATGGATAAAATAAGTTTCAGCTGAGGATAAGATCGTATATTTTAATGTGGCTTTAGGAATGGCACACTAAATTTGGTGTGCGTAGCTTACAGCACACCTTGTTTCGTAAGTAATAAAATCAGTAAGCAAATAGGAGCGCACCCTTTAGTAATTTGACATTTTGAGAATGTCAAGTTACTAAATCATCTTCTACATCAGGGAATCCTTTTAGTTGAGACTTCTGAATTTTATGCACAACCTGTTGGATTTTTTTTAAAAAGCACATATATATATTGCAATTCTTAGTTCAGTTTATTTATGCAAGTTGTAAGCCACCCAAGAGTGGCAATGAGGCTGGCTGGATTATAAAGTTAATAAATGAAAGTTGTTATATACAGGGCTGTACAATTCCTCCCTTTCTACTCTCTCTCTACTAGCATTGATTAGCAACAGGTCCACTTAGAATGCAGCTAGTCCCCTTTTGCCCCCAGAGAGCCGCACAACCAGATCTTCTTACCTTTTTGATCTGATCTTCTTTTAGCTTTGTGAAATAAAAGGCCACAAGGTGCACCGCCAGCATGTTTGCTAGTAGTTCGGCGTTTACAGCAAGTTCCTGAGGCCAAAGCTGGAATTGATATGCTGAAGAAGCCAGCAGGATCTTACCACCCAGCCATTTCTCCGATGAGTCTCCGGAGCAGCAGAGCTGAAGTAAAGCCAATCCTTCTGCATGGTTCAATGATTAAGCTTCCAGCGCCTTTCGTTGCTCCCCCCCCCCCCCCCCCCCCCCCCGGGTACCGTATAATGCTGAGCAGATGGCAAACTGCCAAGAGGCAAGGAAAAAAAAAAAGGATGATTAGTTACAGGCCCAACTTGGCAATGTTTTACTTCAGAACAATCCCAGTTGCTATGAGATATCCCTCGTTTCACCCAAACCCAGCACGGATTTCCTTAGGGTGGCACACGTCCAGCTGTCGAGTTTTTCATCCAACTGCAATGAAAACAAGGCACCTCAATGGGTATTACTGAATCTGAAACATTGGGAGGGGAGAGAGATCTTGCGAATGTAGGACCTTCCCGGGTTTTTTTTTTCCCTCTTCTTTTGCCTTCCCTCTAGCACTGTAAAATCGGGTAGATTGGAGATGGTTTTGTTCCCCCGACCTCTTTGCATTGTTTTATTGTGGGGTTTGTTTTTTTTTCCTGTGGTGGATCTTAATGATTAGCCACCATCTCTGCTGAGGGAGTAGATTTCCCAGGGAAGGTTGTGAAGTGAAATACCACAAAGATTAACTCTGTGAATGCTGCTTTGAGGACCTGTTGAACTTAAGGAGGCATAGAACTGGTTAAGTGTGCCTGGTCAGGTTTCCCCAAACTGACATGTTGCACTACAATATCCCTCATCCCAAGCCAGCATGGGGACCAGCACATGGCCTTTAAGTTTGGGATTAGCTGCAAAACAAAGCCAAAACCAAACCCACATTAGTCTTTGAAATCAGACGTGGCCATCATCTAAGTGAGCATTATTAAAACTGTGATTGCATGTCTTTTCCAAGTATTTGCAGAAGGGGTTGAAAAAGTCAAGATGGAAGCTGCAACTGCACCAATGAAGCCCCCATCCCATTTTCGTACCTGTCCCCTGGGCAGCACATGTATTAAAGAGGCCAGGTTTTGATCACACAAACATGGCTGCCATCTTGAACCCCACTATTCAGATGCCCGTCTTTGTATGTATTCACCTATGTATTGCCCCCCCAAATAACCCTTTGGATACAGACAGTTGAGGGCATAGATGTTGCTTTGCATTGCTTTAAGATCGGTTTTTCAACGCTGACAACTTTTTAAGATGTGTGGACTTCAATTCCCAGAGTTCCACAGCCAACATGGAGAAGTCCAAACATCTCAAAAGTTTGCTAAGGTTGAAAAACATGGATCTAGGCATTGGCAAGTCAAGGCAAACGATGCTTCCCAATTAAGCATTCCAGTGACTTAGGAGAACGTCCTGCTCCAGAAGACTCCAGGCTTCTTGCGATAGCTGGGTCCAGGTACAAAAGATGCGTAAAGTAATCTCAACATTCCCTCAGAGTCACATTTGGCTCAGCAGAGGAATATTTTCAGTTTGTTCTCTGCTTTCTTTCTTCATGTGAGGGCCCCTGCCACACAACCGCCTGCAAGACAAGAGATTCATTGTCTACCCGCGACCTCATATTCCCATCACTGGGCAACAGTAGTACATCACCATGCCAATCAAACATGCTTCTCTTTGTTCTTATGGCCTCTGGAAGAGAGCAGTAGGGTGCCCAGGTTCCTAAATATGCCATCCTTGTGGGGTGAGCTAGTTCGAGTCACAACTGGATACGTACAAGACGCAATGACAGCACTCTCTCTAAACATACTACTGTTATCAGCGTTGCAGAAATTAGTCCCAATTTTAAGACAACAGTGGAGAGCAGCTACTTGCAAGCATTCCAATATTATAAATACCGTAGATTGTTTAAGCAGGGAGTTGATTTTAGTAGTGTAGTAGCCTTCCCTAACAGCCCTTTTTCTAACAAAGATTAGAATAAATTTACACCCTATAAATTTCAGACAAGCTAAAAGAATGAACTCTTTGGTTGGCCTGACGAATTTTAACGTTTCTCTTGGCTTGCTATACAAAAGTTCCAGTTGCGTTTGCCACATTCCACCCTCTTCCACCAAACACAAATTCAAAATCTGCCTCTGATGTGATAATCCCTCATACTTCTGAATCCTAACAAGCAGAAAGGAGTTTTCTGTTCTGTGCTAAGTAACTCCAGATTTTTTTTTTTCAACAAAGGATTAACACAGCAGTGCACGCAATTCATTCCTGGCCCATGAAACGGGCGCTCTTCCTTGAGACTAATTGCATGCACCTCATTAGAGGAGGTGACCTTCACTTAGATTTCAGATCACCTGAACAAACTTCAAAGGGCTTATTGATGTTACTATGGAGACACTGTGGGAACCTTCCATGAATGAAATGCTAATCTCAGAAATGTGAGGGTTAGCGTTTTACTTCTTAAAAAAGACTGGAATGCAAAGCTTTCATTTTATATTTCCTAAACTGCACAGCGCACACGCTTTCCTGTCAGAAATCCAAAACAAACAGGTATCTTTAAAGGCTGCTTATGTCACAAAACTACCATCCTAAGATTGCTCCTGAAAGTGGAAGCTGCCTTCACATCCTCATTTTATACACATACGTATATAAAACAAAACATGTGTGCCGTGTTCAAAATGTCCTATTTTTTTCTGAATTTAAATGCATTCATACTAAAAACATTTGATAAAGATCATAAAAACAATTTTTGTTTCAAATTTACATACAACAGTTGACTCTGAAAGTGTTTTTAAAAGGCAGAGGTCTTTATTTGGTATAATTATGATTTTTCCCTCAAAAGTATTTCCCCCACCCCCAAATATAATTGTGGAAGATTTTAAAAATGCTGATTTCTCTGCCAAAGTTCGTATCAACCAAGTGGCCAGTCTACTAATCTGATTTCTGGTCAAGTTGTATATTAGCATTTAAAATGCTTTTATCTGCTGAACTATGTACTCTGAGGAAGCAGCAGAATGGTGAGCTAAGCTCCATTGTCATGGAACAAGCTCAAACATGACTCAGTGTGCTAACCAGTCAACATTTAAGCAATATTTGGGCTCTTTTGACAGAATTTCCTAGCTGGAGTCTACATTCACTGAAATGCAGCTGCTCCAGCTATTACAGGTAGTCCTCCACTTACAACAGTTCACTTAGTGAACGTTGAAAGGTACAACGGCACTAAATAAAAGTGAATTATGACATGACCGCTGCAGTATCCCCCATGGCCATGTGATTTACTCAATGTATGACGATTGCAGTGTCCTGTGGTCATGTGATCACCTTTTGCAACCTTTCTAATAAGCAAAATCAGTGGGGAAACCAGATTCACTTCACAATGATATAACTAATTTTAATAGCGGCAAGAGATTCACTTCACAGATGTGGCAAAAAAAGCCACAGAAAGGGGCAAAACTCACTTAACAAATTCCTCGCCTTGGGCTCAACTGTGGTCGTAAGTTGAGGACTACCTGCATTAGGCCCACACTGCGATCGCTCAGCGGTTTGAGACCTAACTTCTCCCTTTATCCTTATTATAGCTGTGCTCTCTGATCTCTCATTTCAATTTAAAATGAAAATTCCTTGGCCATTTTGATGGCTTCTGCGAAGTTGCATTTTTAAGAAGATGCCCAAGGCTCACAGATCTCCCCCGGCTCGTAGTGAGATTTCTAAAATCTGTGTTAAGATCAAAACACAAAATACTTAAGAAACGACTTTCTTTTTATTGGAAGCAGAGGCATGACTTCATTTCTTTTTTTCTTTGTGTTTGGCTGAGCCCCTGTTTTCGTTCACCTCAGGGTGAGCATCCTGTTGAGCGAGCCATTCCTTCTCCAGTTGCTTCAGCACTTCCTTGCTGAGGAGCCCCTGCTGTATTAGTCTTTCAGTCAGGGGGCCCTTCATTTGGGACAGGGGCCCCAGCTGCGCATCCGCCGACTGTAAGCCCCTGGCTCTAGGTCCTCTTGCTCTGCGGTAGCCAGGGACCATCTCTTTGTTGGCGGACATTTCTGTCATTTCTGCCTGAGGGAGCCTCTCGTCAGTGCTGAGGCTCTCCGCAGGAATACCCATGGCCTCAGAAGTGACTTGGGAAGCTTGAATCAGCCTCGTAATATTCAGCACTCCAATCTGTATGATGTCATCCAGTTCCTTCTGAATCGCCCTCACGCGACCCGCATCTGGGAACATGTCCATAAACCGATAACTGTGGTTTTTTTTTTTTTAAAAGAAAAAAGAAAAGAAAACACAAATGTGCCATCAACTTGAGAAGAGGAATTCTTCCAAAAGCAAATCAATTCTTTGTGGGTCTACAAATACTTCATTAGGGGGCATCACTTGACAAGAATTTAGTACTGACTCTTATTCACCAATCTCAAAGGTTACAAAAATGTGTGACAAATCCTGGGTCCGTAGCTCATGAATACAAACAACTGGTATTTGTCCTCTCAAAAGTCTACAATGGGGTCCCCAAACTTGGCAACTTTAAGACTTGTGGACTTCAGCTCCCAGAATTCTCCAGCCAGCATATGCTGGCTGGAGAATTCTGGGGGCTGAAATCCACAAGTCTTAAAGTTGCCAAGTTTGGAGACCTCCGTTATAAAGCAAAGCAAGCAATCCAGTTACCTGAGGGATTTTAGAAGGAAATAGTGGGAAGACTGGCTGTTTTATTTTAAAATAATCAGTTCTGGGAGTTGATGTCCACAAGTCTTAAAGCTGCCAAGTTTGGAGCCCTCTGGTCTACAACAATAGGGTTGTGACATGCAATAGTTTGTTTGACAATTAAATTTAAAAAAAAAAAAGCTTGATGATTTAAATATTGTACAGGTATCATTTAGTGACTGACTCATCCAGCAACCATTTGCAATTACAACGACGAAAGAAAAAGTCATTTTATGACCAGTCCTTGCATTTGCAAACTTCGCAAGTCTGTAAAGCAAAGGAAAGCTGAAGGAAGACCACAATTAGTCACACAGTTTCACTTATGGACTATTTTACTTAATGACCAAGTTGCCAGTTCCAGTCTGGTTGCTAAAGGAGGACTACTGCATAGACTAGCATAAAAGATGAGCAAAAGAGCCTATTTTCTTCAAGAATGAGAGTCCAGCTTATTCCTGGAGAAGAGGAAGTGGAGAGAGAGATGTCACAGACCTTTTGGCAAAGATGGATGTTCACACAAAGAGGTCCCCACAGCCCTATAAAATTACATACATATTATCCCAGGAAAAGTGTATCCTTGGGGCAGATTCTCCCAACAGAAGAGATAATTTCTTAAGCTGGCCCTTTAAGAAGAAGTGGGAGGGGAGAACCACTGTTCTGTTCCCATACCTCAGCCAGAGATAGAGATCAAGAACGTCATGCACAGCTTCAAGATGGACAAGGTCCTTGATGTTCTTGGGTGGGACCAGGGGCCAGTTAATATGCCGGCAGAGCCAATCAAACATCACCGGTTCATTCCTGCTGAACTGCCGTGCAAACTGGAACACAAAAAGAGATGATTAGGCAAACGGGACCTCCACAACAGCAATGCCCTCACATTGCCAGATGCTCTCGGTAACCACCATGCTCAAGCAAGGAAAAGCAATTCCCATAATCTATAACAAGGGTCTTCAAACTTGGCAAGTTTATGACTTGTGGACTTCAATTCCCAGAATTCCTGACTGACTGACATGACTGGAGGAGGAATTCTGGGAGTTGAAGTCCACAAGTCTTAAAGCTGTCAAGTTTAAAGACCCCTGATCTATCTTATTAACTTTTTACCAAGTTTAGCACTCACATTCAAATAACAGGCAAAGCATTTGACAGTTTTTCAAAGCATCAACAAAATGCTTCCCTTCTCTTAGTACTTTAGACATTGGAAGAAAAAGAAAACGGTGAACATTCCAAACTTTCCAAAACAGGGAACAACTATCCACCTTACTTTTCTAGAAAGCTTCTAACAATTTCTTACGCTTCACAAAACAGAAACTTTGCTCTAAAATGTCAGCTGAGAGATCAAATCAGATATCTAATCTGCGAATCCTCATTAGCAGTTATAGGTGGCATTTCAGTTGATACAGTGGGATTGCCTTTAGCCAACACTCAATTTCTGAGAAACTAAAAGCTAGCTCATATGATCTTCCAGTAATGTCTTTCCCCATTGGTGCAAAAAATAGTATTTGATCTCACACACATATTTGCGAATGTGCGAATCAGCAAATTATGCTGGATTGCCTTCTGTTCTCAACTAAACAATCAAACCTATAAACATAAAATAAGAGACAGTGCAAGCTGTTCATTACTCCGTCTGTTTCTATGGTTCTAATGGAATCTACAAAAGCTGTCCCTGACAAAGAAATTTTGCAGCTGCTGCTTAGGAAACTGAAGCAGAAAAGAATATTTTGGAAAGACTTATTTAAACTGGCAAATAAGACTAGGAAATCTCCTTGCTGGAGTGGTTATTGCCAGGGATAACTTGATCCACTACAACAAAATGCACACACATATATAAAATATAAGCACATCTACTGTTTGGGCATACTGGGAGCTTAGATAGGCACCTCCTGGGAAATATGCTAAAAAAACCCTAAAAATATTACAAAACAGATGCAAGTTACCTTTAGGAGTGAGGTGCACACAAAGGGCTCCTTTTGATTAATGGGAGCTGTGCAAAACACGTATCTTGCCCTCAAATGGAGTGGAATGTGTTGAATCATTTTGGCTAAAAATTTGAAGTTATCAATATTGCAGACAAAGTAGAGTCCATCAACTTGAGAGAGGCTCACAAAAATATCCTGTTTAAAAACAACAACATTTAATTAGACAAAATCCCAGCTCTGTTAAAAGCTTTCAAACATTCATAGACCCGGTAAATTTGAAACTTTCTCTTTTCCAACCCCTGCCTCCTCACAAAATTATCAGAAACCTGGTTCTTTTAGGTTTTCTTTCCTCTACCAAGTTTTTCCCACAGAAAAAAATGTATTTTATGGCGGAGGAAAAGGTGAGATCTTTAGAATGTGTGTTATACTAGAGCCGGAATGCAGAGATGCCACGTGGTTAGCAACTTACTAGAGGTTTATTGCTCATGAGAAGGAATGATCAGTCTGTTGACAAGTGGCAAGGAAAGCAGTGATTTGGCCACTGATACATGTGGACAAGCAGAGTAGATACTTTATTACACTGACCTTCATAGAGCAGGTCAATAAACAACCCATTCACCCATTCCCAAACCCATCTCCCCAAAATGGAAAGCAACACTGGGAGACCATAAGTAAAACTACAGTAAAATCTAATAATTATCACATTTCCTACAGATAGTTAACAACCTCAAATAAAATGGATTCAGGGAGCCTGGAAATCCAACCAGGCATCATTCTCATGAGAGCAATGTGACAAACACCGGTTAATGTACCAGGAAGTAGTGGGGTACTCATACTTCGCTATGAAACTATGTGATCGGGCAAGTTTTTTGGGGAGGAAAATAAGTGGGGGAAATTCTGCCTTTGCCTACCAGCATCCATCGGTATTCATCTGGCTAGTGTCCGGTCAGTGTGTGAGAGTTGAGGGCTGTCTGGAAACTGAAACAGTATTTGCTATGTGAGCAAGGAAACAGCAAGGAGCCTGGGTGTGGCTTAGCTCAACTGTAGTTGGAACAGATTTCTTTTCATGTGGGGAAGGGGAGTAGAACTCTTTAGCATCAGAGCGTGTTAATAATAATATACAAAATACTAATGCTCTAATAGTGATTTTGAAAAATCCTTTCTTAGTGATCACCCTAGAAGCCAAGAGGAACATACGTGCCAAATTTCAAGACTGTAGGGTTTACGGTTCTGGAGATTTTGTGATGATGCGTGAGTAAGTGGTATTTCGTTTTTATATATATAGATTGCCCCACTACAGGGACAACCCTTGCTTCAAGTGGAAACCCCCATAATTTCCCAGAGGTGGTGGGAAAACGTTAAATCTTGCCAGTGGTAGGGGTTTCTGAATGCGGAAAGCCCTTTTGGCTTAAATATCTAGTCAGCTTGGAAAGAAAGGTGAATGAAAAACTAACAAATGCAATGAAGATCCAGTAGGGGTCCCATTCCTAGATGAAACAAAACCATCACTTAAAATTTGAGACATTAAGCCTCGGGTGGAGTGGGAATTAACCCTGACCACAGTAAGAGTTCAATCCAGAAGAAAAAAAAATATGGTTGTTTTATATAAAAATAAATTCAGGACACGCACAGCCTATCAAAATCTTATTGCGTGTAATTTAGAAAAAAAAACTGCCAGAAAAAGTGATTTGGCAGAGTTCTGGAAGCAATATGCATAAGGTGACAGGATTGTCTATGTCAGGGGTCCCCAGACTTGGCAACTTTAAGACTTGTGGACTTCAACTCCCAGAATTCTCCAGCCAGCATTGCATCATGAGTTCTAATTGGCACTGAGTCTCTGCTGCTGACTTTCACTTGTGCAACACAGTCCCGTGAATGAAGAATGAGTTACCCCTTTTCCTCCTGTAGCTCTCAAGAGTTTAAAAGGGAAAGTTGCCGTCACAACCTTTAAGCTTTGCTATCAGCTGCAAAAACCAACGTAAGATTCACACAAGCCTAAAACACCCAGCATGCCCCAGCTTATGTAAAGCGGCATTTAAACAGCTGCCTGCTGAAAAGGTCGAGCTAAGAAGCTTTTCCAGTCTTACAATGAGATTTGACAGAGTGGCTCCTGGGAGGTGATATGCAAACATCTCAATCTGCTCAGCTGTGGGGTGCAAGCCAGCAGCCTGGAGGGAGAAAGAAAGAAAAGGGGTGTCATTTCCTCCCAATTTATAAAGTTTGTGAGCATTTGTTGCATTAAAACAGCAACTGCCACACGTGTAACAAAATCAGGCAGAATTTCCATCGTATCAGTGTGGCAAACCATCTTGCCACTTTTGCCCAAATCTCATGCAACCCTGCAGCCTTGCAAGGATTACAAATGATGTGGCTGCTTTAAAGACCAGGAGACCCCGGCTCCTCCTGTCTGTTTGGGATACCCCTTTCAGATACTCTGCGCGCCTCTAGATTAAAAAGCAGAAATTGTCCTCATTTTCGATGTGTTCTGCTGATGGGAGTTTGCCCGCTTCGTCTACACGTATTGCATTTCAGTTCACACCAGCTGTCCCTGAGTCTGTCCAGCCCACAGTCCCAAGAGACATATAGCACAGTAGCAGAGTATCTACTTAAGTCTTTGTGGGCAGTCCTTGACTTAGAGCTGGCTGTTTAATAATCAGTCAAAGTTATGACAAAGTTTTAAAAAGCTACTCGTCAACCGTTGTCCCACTCAAGTCATCTAGCAAAGAAAGACTCCTGGCCATTTGTTTTGCCAAGAATATACTCGACCGAAGCTTAAATGGTTACACAGAAGTAGCGTAAGCAGAATCTGAAGTTTTCACCCTGCAAACAGCTCAACGGAAAATCCCCTTTCCCCCCCCCCCCCCCCGCCCCCCCCCCCCCCCCCAGTTATCTGCAAAGGTCCAATCGGGCGCTTTTGTATTGTTCAGGAAACAGATGCTTGGTTCCCAGCTCTGTACATTGTCAGTGATCTCGATGGGTTGAAGCTTCTCACAAGCCTCGGCTGGACTTCCATCCCCATCGTCTTCCTTACGTTCCAATTCTTCCTTCTCCCCCAACCCCACCTGCTAATGTCTGGCTCTCGGCTCATGAACCTTGGATAGGTGAGACGCAGCCATGACACTACGGTCAAGGATGAACGTTTGGCAGCTACTTGCCTCTTCCTTCCAACTTGGCATTAGAGTAAAGGGGGGGTGGGGCGGGGCAGGTGTTGCTTTAGAATGGGTGAAATGGAGACATGAACAATTCCACGGAAGGCCGAGAGCCTGAAACCTTTTCAAGGACATCGTAGCAGGTGTGGAGCTGAAGCAG